CCAAAGCAGCCCCTTCCGAAAAATCAAATATTGTTCGGTTGTTCTTCCCGCCCCCATCCGAAAGGAAACATATTTGTCGGTTGCTTTTCCCTCTTGCTGCCGTTTCGGGCTCTTTTAGGGCCCCTTGTAGGACGCCAGTCCACTGGACCCACCAGCACCCCTCGAAAGTGGCGACTGTTTCGCAGATCGCAGCCCCCCCCCCAGGGATGGCGAGGTCCAATCTGAGCCCCCATAGGACGTCACTCTGCTGGGCCCCCCTGCAGCCCTCGAACGTTGGCCCTTCTAGGGCTCATTTGGGCGCCAAGAAAGTCAATACGGGCCCCAGGAGGGCTCCAAGAAGGCCCCAAGAGGGCCCTAAGAGTGGCCCAGAGAGACCCCAAGAAGGCCCCCAAAGCGCACCCTTCCCCTAAGGATTTTTTCAGGATTCCGATGGATTCGCAAATATTCCTAAGGATTCCTGACGGAATCCGGAGGAGTCCTGATCCTAAGGATCCTAAGGGATCCCAAGGACCCTAAGGAATCCTAAGGATCCTAAGGAGTCCTAAGGAATCATAAGGAACCCTAAGGAATCCCAAGGAATGAAAAGGACTTCTGAAGAAGAAAGAAGTACTTCTGAAGAAGAAAAAAGTATTTCTGAATAAGAAAGAAGTGCTTCTGAAGATCCCATGGTTGTAATTGGTCCCATGTATGGTTGCAATTCGCTCCGAACGGTTGGAATTGGGACCAGTCGGTTGTAATTCGTCTCATTTCGGGGGGAGGGGCGGGGGGAGGAGGAGGGAGGGGGGTTTAGGGAGAGAGGGAGGAGGGGGAGGGGAGAGAGGCAGGCCGGACCTCCTCCTCCTCCTCCTCCTCCTCCTCCTCCTCCTCCTCCTCGTCCGCCTCCTCGCGATCCGTCTGGCCCCTATGGACCGCCAGGCATAGGAGAAAACCGAAACCCCGACACAAACTGAATCCATAGTTTCTCTGATCGTGTGAGAGGTTTGCCGCAATGGGTGTGCGTGACGCATGCGGGCGGTGGCACTGGGGCCTTCGGTGGAGCTCCCTGCGGGGCCACGAAACTTGCGAGGGGTGTGCCGCAATGGGTGTGCGTGACGCATGCGGGCGGTGACACTGGGGCCTTCGGTGGAGCTCCCTGTGGGGCCACGAACGTGTGAGGGGTGTGCCGAAATTGGTGGGCGTGACGCATGTGGGCGGCTGCACTGGGTCTTTCGGAGAGCTCCCTGCGGGGCCACGAAACGTGTGACGAGGTGTGCCGAAATGTGTGTGCGTGACGCAGGCGGGCGGTGACACTGGGTCCTTCGGTGGATCTCCTTGTGGGGCCACGAAACGTGTGAGGGGTGTGCCGAAATGGGTGTGCGTGACGCATGTGGGCGGTGGCACTGGGGCCTTCGGTGGAGCTCCCTGTGAGGCCACGAAACGTGTGAGGGGTGTGCCGAAATGGGTGCGCGTGACGCATGTGGGCGTTGGCACTGGGGCCTTCGGTGGGGCTCCCTGTAGGGCCACGAAACGTGTGATGGGGTGTGCCGAAATGGGTGTGCGTGACGCATGCGGGCGGTGCACTGGGGCCTTCGGTGGAGCTCCCTGTGGGGCTGAGAATCGTGTGAAGGGTGTGCCGAAATGGGTGTGCGTGGCGCATGCTGGCGGTGCAGGGCGGAGGGGAGGAGGAAGGAAGGAAGGGAGGAGGGAACGCGGGGACCGTCTCGTCAAAACGATGACCCAACACCACAAGATTGTTGGGAACGAGACACCCTCGATGTGCGCAATGCAGCGCTTTTGCCATGCTACTGCCATGCGACCGCCATGCGGACGCCATACTCTTGCCGCGCAGTTGCCATGCTATTTCCATGCAGTTGCCTTGCCATGGCCTTCACACTGACCCCTCTGACTTGCGCAAGTCAGGGGGGTAATTGTTCAGTAGATTCCTGAAACTTTACCCCCCCTGGCTTGCGCACGTCACCGCCGTTGCTTTGCTATTGCCATGCTACCACCATGCAAACACCATACTCGTGCCACGAAGTTGCCATGCTATTGCCACACAGTTGTCGTAATATTGCCATACTATCGCCACGCGATTGCCATGCACTTACCATGCAATATCATGCAATTGCCATGCAGTTGCCATGCTATTGTCATGCAGTGTCCATGCTATTGCCATGCTATCGCCATGCGATTGTCATGCAGCTGTCATGCAATTGCCAAGCAGTTACCATGCAGTTGCCATGCCATTGCCATGCCACTGCCATGCAGTTGCCGTGCTGTGGCCATGTTATGGCCATGCGATTGGCATGCAGTTGCAATGCGACTGTCATGCAGTTGCCATGTGATTGTTATGCGGTTCCCATGACTTTGCCATGCAGTTGCCATGCTATTGTCATGCTATTGCCATGCGACTGCCATGCAGCTGTCATGCGATTGTCATGCAGTTGCCATGCAGTTGCCATGCTATTGTCATGCGATTGCCATGCAGTTGCCATGCTGTTGTCATGCTATTGTCATGCAGTGGCCATGGCACTGCTATCTCATTGCCATGTGATTGCCATGCGATTGTCATGCAGTTGCCATGCGATTGCCATGCGAGTGTCATGCAGTTGTCATGTTATCGCAATGCGAGTGTCATGCAGTTGCCATGCTATTGTCGTGCGATTGCCATGCAGTTGCCATGCGATTGCCATGTGATTGCCATGCAGTTGCCATGCTAATGTCATGCGATTACCATGCAGTTGTCATGGAATGCTCCTGCCATTGCCATGCAGTTGCCATGCTATTGCCATGCGATTGTCATGCAGTTGCCAAACTATAATCATGCAGTTGCCATGCAGTTGGCCTGCGATTGTCATGCAGTTGCCATGCAGATGCCATGCGATCGTCATGCGACTGCCATGCAATTGCCATGCGATTACCATGCAGTTGCCACGCTATTGCCATGCGGTTATCAAGCAGGTGCAATGCGACTGTCATGCAGTTACCATCCAGTTGCCATGCTACCGCCATGCTGTTGTCATGCCATTGCCATGCTATTGCAATGCGATTGTCATGCGATCGCCATGTGCCATGCTATTGCCATGCAGTTGCCATGCAATTGCTATTGCATTATCATGCAATGGCCATACTATTGCCATGCTATTTCCATATAGTTGTCAAACAGTTGTCATGCTATTGCCACGCAGTTGCCATGCGATTGCCATGTGATTGCCATGCAGTTGCCATGCTAATGTCATGCGATTGCCATGCAGTTGTCGTGCGATTGCCATGCCGTTGCCATGCTATTGCCATGCTATTGGCATGCTTTTGCCATGCTGTTGACATGCGATTGCCCTGCAGTTGCCATGCATTTGCCATACTAGTGTCATGCGATAGCGAAGTTACTGCCATGCAGTTGCCATGCGATTGCCATTCAGTTGCCATGCTATTGTCATGCAGTTGCCGTTTATTGCCATGCAGTTGCCATGCGATTGTCATGCAGTTGCCATGCTATTGCCATGCAGTTGCCATGCGGTTGCCATGGCATTGCCATGCTGTTGCCATGCTATTGCCATGCGATTGCCATGCAGTTGCGATGCAGTTGCCATGCTACTGCCATGCAGTTGCCATGCGAGTGCCAGTCAGGTGCCATGGAATTGCCATGGTGTTGCCATGATATTGTCATGCGATTGCCATGCCGTTGCCATGCCATTGCCATGCAGTTGCCATGCTATTGCCATGCAATTGCCATGCAATTGTCATGCAGTTGCCATGCTATTGCCATGCGAGTGCGAGTGCCATGCAGTTGCCATGATTCTGGCATGCGATTGCCATGAAGTTGCCGTGCTATCGCAATGCTATTGCCATGCGATTGCCATGCAGTCGCCATGAGCTTGCCATGCAGTTGCCATGCTATTGCCATGCGAGTGCGAGTGCCATGCAGTTGCCCTGCGATTGCCATGCGATTGCTATGCAGTTGCCATGCTGATGCCATGTGATTGCCATGGTGTTGCCATGCTATTGTCATGCGATTGCCATGCAGTTGCCATGCTATTGCCATGCGATTGCCATGAAGTTGTCGTGCAGTTGCCATGCTGTTGCCATGCTGTTGCCGTACAAGTGCCATGGTATGGCCATGCAGTTGCCATGATCTTGCCATGTTATTGCCATGCGATTGCCATGCAGTTGCAATGCGATTGCCATGCGATTGCCATGCAGTTGCCATGCAGTTGCCATGCTATAGCCATGCTATTGCCATGTGATTGCAATGCAGTTGCCATGCTATTGTCAGGTGATTGCCATGCAGTTGCCATGCTATTGCCATGCTGTTGCCATGCTATTGCCATGCGATTGCCATGCAGTTGCCATGCAGTTGCCATGGTATGGCCATGCAGTTGCCATGACATTGCCATGCAGCTGCCCTGGAGCTGCCATGCAGTTGCCATGCTGCATAGCAATAGCATGATAATAGCATTGCAATTTCCTGGCTATTGCATGGAAATATCATGGCCATAGCGGGCCCACTGGAAGGTTCAAATTATGAATTTGACTTCAGGGGCCCCCGAAGCCTAGCTTGGCCGGGAAGACACACCGATCCTGTTGGACCCTGGAGCGACGAGGTGGATGGCTGCAGAGGACGCCCATGCCAAGAAACACATTGTTTGTCTCCAGGGTGCCCTCCCTGGTTTTCTTGGGTTTCGATGGTTCTGATACGGGAAGCATAGCGTTCCCACCAAAAACCAATGGGCGTTCTGCGTTCTCAGGGTTGGGTTTCGTGTGGAAGGTTTTTGTGGTCGAGCTCCTGCTGTACACCGATCCTGTTGTACCCTGGCTCGGCGAGGTGGATGGCCAACGCACCCCCCCGATATCCACCTCTCCGATATCTGGGCCAAGCCAGGACTGGTGTATGCGTATGCCCTCCTTGCTTGGCCCGGGGGATGCACCCATCCTGTTGGACCTTGGATCGGCGAGGACGGAGGAGGAGGAGGAGGCGGATCGGGAGCAAGCGGAGGAGGACGATGGCTGACGCAGCCCCACAGGATGGAGGCCGACGACGTCCGCTCCGTGGTGGAGCAGGGCTTCGCGCCTCTGGCCCTGGGGCCCGCCGCGCCCGCGGGGCCGATGGCGCCCGGCGGTCGGCGGCGGCGCGCCCCGCCGCGCGGAGCTGCGGAGGGCGCCCCGGCAGCGGGCGTCACACCGTGAGGCCCTCCGCCGCCACGCCGCGGCGGTGGCGCGGCGCACGGCGGGGTGCAGAGGCCGCCCGCGGCGCGCGGCGGGCCGCGTCGCGCCCCGCCCGCCCGGAGTCGCAGGCGATGCCGCGAGCCCATTCTCGGGGGAGAAGAAGATACGGATACGTGTTGTCCCCCGTCGTTTTCGGCCTTTCCTGGTCCTCCTGGGGAATCCTCGTTGTCACCGTTGGATTCGCCTCGAAATTCTGGTCAGAACGCACCCCAAGAGAGGTCCGGGGACAACACGTATCCGTATCTTTCCGCCCCCCAACATTCCATTACTCACTGAGCGCGCTCCACTGCTCGCAAAGCACCGGCCTCGACGTCATAGATCGCAGATCCCCCGCTGCAGATCCAGGCCATTTGGTAGTATAGTTACCTTGCGAGTCGTGGGACGCGCTTGTCTACAGTTACCCGCGCCCCATTGGAAGGCCTCCATCTGCAGCGTTGTGCAGGCAGCGCTGGCTCCTCAGTACCGCGCCCTGGCCGCAAATCAGGACCAGCATTTCTTCATGCTACGGGCAGCGAAGCCGAGCGTGTCCCGAATGCCGTTTCAAGATCCCGACGACTCTTGGATTTACACGCACCATGATTTGCGCGCGCCGGGGCTGGGCGGTCTTCTTGGATTCTTAGCCAGCCGCCAGGGTTCGCACGCAGGGCGCATAGTGGAGGGACCCAGCGGCGAGAGTGGGTGGGTAGAGTGGGCTCCGCGGCAATGGTAATCGGTATCAGTTTTTTTGTTGTCCACGCCTGGCGTCGTCAGGCAGAAGCCTCCATGAAGCTGGATCAGATTCTGACCACCCTGTTGCACTTGCAAAATGCTACGCTGGCAAGGCTGGCGCAGAGCGGGGAAACTACTTCTCCCGAAAGTGTGCGCAGCTTTCTAGGCCTTGCTTTAGATTTTGAATTATTGTAGTGGTCTCCAGCCAGTGCCGCCGATCCGGGGCGCTCCGGATGATGATGATGATGATGATGATGATGATGATGATGATGATGATGATGATGATGATGCTGCTGCTGCTGCTGCTGATGATGATGATGATGATGATGATGATGATGATGATGGTGGTGGTGGTGGTGGTGGTGGTGGTGGTGGTGGTGGTGGTGGTGGTGGTGATGATGATGATGATGATGATGATGATGATGATGATGATGTGACGATGGTGATGGTGATGGTGATGGAGATGGTGATGATCCCGAAAGGCCTCCACCTGCAGCGATGTGCAGGAAACGTTGGCTCCTCAGTACCGCGTCTTATCAGGACCATCATTTCTTCAGCCGAGTGTGCTCCGAATGTTTTTTCAAGAGCCCGACGACTCTTGGATTTACACGCACCAGAGCTGGGCGGTCTTCTTGGATTTTTAGCCAGCCGCCAGGGTTCGCACGCAGGGCGCATAGTGGAGGGACCCAGAGGCGAGAGTGGGTGGGTAGAGTGGGCTCCGCGGCAATTGTAATCGTTATTAGTTTTTTTTTTCGGGCCTGGCGTCGTTTGTCAGAAGCCTCCATGAAGCTGGATCAGATTCTGATCACCCTGTTGCACTTGCAAAATGCTACGCTGGCAAGGCTGGCGCAGGGCTGGGAAACTACTTCTCCCGAAAGTGTGCGCATCTTTCTAGGCCTTGTTTTGGTTTTTGGGTTACTTGTGTTTCCTGAGCAGTGCTTGCATTGAAGCGTTCTTCTGTCTGTCATATAAGAAATTTGCTTCATTGGGATTTGCAACGGTTGTCTGGCGACGCGCGGCGTTACGACCCCATGAGGATGCTCATCAGTGTTGTCAGATTGTGGCAGGTCTCGTGTATTTTCGAAGATAGGTTTAGCATTCAGTATCCGAGCGAGTTGACCATGCTCGGTGACCATTTTGGCTCAAGGGTAAAACACTTGTCGATCCTGCTGCTGCCGCAGTTAGTAGCGGAGCGGTGTAGGCTGGCGGGCCATGGGTGCGAGGGCAGGCTGCTAGCGGCCCTTCCCTCGGCGCTTGCGAGCCCCCGGCCAGTCCCGCTCACGCCGTCCAGCGAGCGGTGCGGGATCCACGGCAAGGGTATGCCCTGCGCAGATAGTGAAGGGGACATCGAGGCGACGCTCCTGGCGCTGAGGCAGCCGACCGACCCTCTGGCCGCCTCAGCAGAAGGCGCCGCCTCCTCGGGCAGCACCGCGCCGGTCACCAAGGGGGAGCCCGAGAGCCTGATCAGGGACATAGTGACATCCTCTATGAGATCGGCGTCGACGGTTTGAACGGGGACCCCAGGTGCTGCCGAAGATGATGCCGCTCCGGCCTCCAAGGCACACAGTACGAAGACTGACGGCGAGGACCAGTGGGCGGTGTCAGACCCTTGGCAGGAGAACTGCAGACATCACGGACGCGGTCGCGGCGACGAGAGTGAGTCGGCAGCAGCAGCGAAACCCGACCGCGATTGGCAATCCGGCTCTTAGGGCTCCAGCAAGGCTTGGGACCCCAGCTCCTGGCAGGCATGGAGCCCAGGAGGCGGGACCTGGGCAGACGGCAGCTGGGGCGCCTCGGGCACAAGCTGGTCGACGAGCACTGGCCGGGGCGACTTCAGCGACCCACCCTCCTGGTCGGGGTGGACGCACTACCGCCAGTGGAAGAAGGGAGGGTGCGCCGCTGGATCTCCCCAAGGGGGTGGGGGTTAGGAGTCCCCCCCCCCTCTTCCCCGATCTGTCGTCGGGGACCCCCCCCCCTCCCCCCCTTCCCCGATCCGTCGTCGGGGACCCCCCCCCCCCTCCTTTCCTCGTCCGTCGTCGGGAACCCCTTCCCCCCTCCCCCCTTTCAAAAGGGGGGGGGATCCGAACCCCCCCCCTCCCATCCCCCCCTTTGGCCGCAGCCCCCCCCCTCCCTCCCTTTCGCCACGCCGCCCCCTGACTCCAGAACCCGACCCCCGCCACCCCTACCCCTAGTCCTCACCCGAACCCAAGCCCGTAATCCTAACCCCAACCAGTAGCCCCAGCCCCGAAGAATACTCACTACTCATTACTCATTACCCACTTCTGACTATTCGCTAATCGCTGTTCACTTCTCACTACCCCCTACTCACTACCCACGACTCACTACTCACTATCCACTACTCACTACCCACCACCCACTACTCGCTACTCACTACTCCCTACTCACTACTCCCTCCGCCCGACTCACTACTCACTACTCACTCCTCACTACCCACTACTCAATACTCACTATTCACTAAGCACTACTCACTACTCCCTACTCACTACTCACTAATCACTACTCATGACCCACTACCCACTATCTACCACTCACTATTCACTACTCACTACTCATTGCCCACAAATCACTACTCACTACCCACTACTCGCTACTCGCTACTTCCTACTCCCTACACAATACTGACTACACAGTACTCAGTACTCAGTACTCGCTACTCCCATACTCGCTACTCAATACTCACTACTCACTCCGCGCTACTCACTGTTCACTACTCACTACTTACTACTCCCTACTCACTAGTCACTACATACTCTCTAGTCACTAGTCACAACTCGCTAGTCACTAGTTACTAGTCACTACTCAATATCCACTACCCACTACTCACCAATCGCTACTCACTATCCACTATTCGCTACCCAGTTCTTACTCCTCGCTGCTCACTACTCCCTACTCCCTACTCACTACTCACTACTCGCTACTCCCTGCTCGTCACTCACTAATCACTACCCACTATCATTACTGACTACTCTCTACTCACTACTCACTACTCACTACGCCCTACTCGCTCTTCACTACACACTACTCGCTACTCGCTACTCGCTACTCACTACCCACTACCCACTGCCACTACCCATTTCTTTCTATTCATCACTACCCACTACTCACTACTCACAAGGCACTACGTACTACTCAGTACTCGCTACTCACTACTCACTACCCACTACTCGCTACTCACTGCTCACTACTCACTACTCACTACTCACTAGTCACTACGCACTACTCACTACTCCCAACTCATTACTCACAAATCACTACGCATTACCCACTATCCACTACTCACTACTCGCTACTCACTACTCTTTGCCCACAAATCATTACTCACTTCCCACTGCTCGCTACGCCCTACTCCCTACTCCCTACACAATACTGACTTCACCGTACTCAGTACGCACTACTCGCTACTCCCATACTCGCTGCTCAATACTCACTACTCACTACCCGCTACTCACTATTCGCTACTCACTACTTACTACTCCCTACTCATTAGTCACTACATAGTCTCTAGCCACTAGTCAGAATTCACTAGTCACTAGTCACTACTCACTACTCACTACCCACTACCCACCAATCGCTACGCACTACCCACTATTCGCTACCCATTTCTTACCACTCACTGCTCACTGCTCCCTACTCACTACTCACTACTCACTACTCGCTACTCGCTACTCCCTGCTCGTTACTCACTAATCACTACCCACAACTCACTACGGACTACTCTCTACTCACTAATTTCTACGCCCTACTCGCTCCTCACTACTCGCTCCCCCCCTACTCGCTACTCACTACTCACTACTCACTACCCACTGCCACTACCCACTACTCACTATTCATCACTACTCACTACTCACTACGCATCACGTACTTCTCAGTAGTCACTACTCACTACTCACTAACTACTCGCGACTCACTACTCACTACTCACTACTCACTACTCACTACTGACTACTTACTACGCACTATGCACTACCCACTACTCACTACTTACTAATCACTACTCGCCACCCACTACTCACTACCCACTACTCACTTGCCACTACTCATTACTCCCTACTCCCTACTCAGTATTCACTACTCGCTACTCGCTACTCACTACTCACGACTCACTACTCGCCACTCACTACTCATTTATCCGTACACACTACTCACTATTCACTACCCACTACTCCCCACTCCCTACTCCCTACTCCCTACTCGCCACTTACTACCCACTACTCATGACCCAATACTCAGTA